TCTCCGACTCAGAAATATAAATATTAATTCTTTCCCCCTTTCTCCTTCTCCTAGAATTCAGTCAGTCCAGTTTTGGAGATTTAGATTCTCGACGCAAGTAAAATTTAAATGCAGCTTTCAATTAAATTTCAATGTTTGATTTGTCTTGTCAGATAAGTAAACTCGCAATCTTCTCCTGTGTACTCGATCGGGATACGGCGTGGCACACGCGCACCGTCGCACCTGTTACAGCCTAAGTAACAGCGGGTTTTGCAACACGGTGGAGATAGTTGAGCGATCAAACATCGGGGATACTCTCGCAGGGAGCGCAGCTGCCACATTCGTCGCGCAATTCAAACGGTGAAAGGGTTAATTGTCGCGAGCGCGGCACCGTGAAATCGCGGTGCTAGCTTAGATAAAAAGGGCCGGAGGATGGTGGAGGGAGAAGAATAAGGAAAAAAGAAAACGAGACGCGGTTATATATCGCCGCGTAATCGTGAGTCACCATCGTGCGCGGTGAACCAAAAAGAACGAGATCAGAAGTGGAGGAGCGACGGAGTCGGGCATGACTTGTGCATCTGCGTCGTTTTGCGAGCTAGGAAATCCCTTTGCAAATACCGTATGATTACGGCCGCATACCTAAACGATAACGCAAACGGCTGCGCGAAAAAACTCGCTCCCTAGATTCTTACGACTTTGTCCCGAGATGGGAATTTCAAGAATACGTACCTCTTAATTGGAGAAAATCGCTTCTGTAATGCAACGTGCAATTGTAATATTTATTATTAGTTACCAAAATTAACTTTGCTATCAAATTGCTATTATTATAATATTATCATATTTTCTACATTTTCTACATTTGTTATAACAACGATACAACTTAAAAATTGTCATTTTTTTTAGTTGTTTACAAAGAAAAGAGAAGAGTTCCTTGGAGTTCTTATTTCTGATACAGCGATAATGTCATAAAAAGATTGCTTTTAAAAATTTATTTTTATGGATGAAATTACATGGATGATTTAATACCTATAAAGAGCTAATGATACCTTTACTCCTCTATAATTAGTTATTTAAAAATAATGATACAAAATTTTAATGATTGAAAACATTTCCTGGTAATTTTGTTTTTTTTAGTTATATCCTTATTACAGCAAATGAGCGATATAATTACTACTGAGATATTTTTCTTTTATCATCTGGGACTAAATTACGTGTGTCTTAAGCAATAAAAACTTCATGTTTTTACAATTTAAATATTATTTAAACAGAATTACAGTTTTAAGAGATATCGTCAGGTCGTTTATTTGGTTTTAAAGAGGAATATCTCACGCTGTCAAGACTCACACGACGTACTAAACAGCGATGATCCGTCGCATTTTTGCACGGTCGCCTGCAGCAAAGTGGGGCACGGTGCAGGAAAGTCTTCTTCCAGAATAATAAAAAAGTGCTGAAAATAATCGTGACTCAGCAGTTGGTGGAGAGACATGTGCACGATAAAAAAAAACAAAGAAATATTGACAGAAGAGAAAAAAGGGACGTTTGTCACGAGGCGCGGAGAGTACGCGTAGAATACGTCACACTTTTGTAGTAAGCATGTGACGTATTAGAAGGTCCGGTTTTTCTCGGAATGGTGGACCGCGAGTAAAGGAACTGGTTTGACGGCACGTGTCACGTGGAAACGAGAAAAAGACTTAGGAGTGGGTAGGTGAGGGGAAAAGAGCACCCAAAAATAAACAGCGAACAGACAGAACCGCAGATGTCTGACGAGATGATGACATGTAATGCATACACAGGATAGAATCGACGCTAAAGAGAAGAGCCAATTATAGATATCTAGATGAAGATGAAAAGATTCTACGAAAAAA